CCCCCCGGCTCCTTTTTGGGATTGAATACGACTACTACAAAAAGAAAACAACGAAAACTGAGCTCACCGGAATCGCAGGAGTTGGGGTGGGTGGGGGGTGGGGGGTTGGAAACATGGAGAGGCTACGAAAAGAAAGTTTCTAGTCTTTTTGCTTCTTGTTTCATCAAGTGGACAGTCAACAGGATTCATGATAAAGAGCGATACGGTTCAAGACCCGTTCTGGATCACTTCTCTTTTTTGTTGTTGTTGTTTTTATTGTACATTTTTTTTGCTTTTTGTTTGAAGCCTGTTGGGACACATGTAAAAAAAAAAAAAAAACAGGCAGAAGTCTTGATTTCAAGCGGGAAGGGAAAGAAAGCAAATGAAAATGTTGGAGATTTGCCTGAAATTGGTGGGGTGTAAATCCAAGAAAGGGCTCTCGTCCTCCTCCAGCTGCTACTTGGAAGGTAAGCGCCCCGCACGCTCTTTTGTTCGCGAGCTTGACTTTGAACGTATTCAACGGAAGAGATGCTTGAAAGTCAAAAGGGGGGGCTCAGAGTGGCTCGCAACCACGCAAGGATTTTTGGCTTTGGTGGAAACTGCGGAATGGGGAAGGGGGGGGAAACGCAGCTCAGGGGAGGTGAGGGAGGCCAGACACACTGGCGAGCGGCGGAGGGAAGAAGTGGAAAAAGAGAGAATACACGGAAATCTGACTCCCCCGGAGCCTGTGTCCCACTTTACTGTTGTTTAAGAGGAAAGTTGCATCGAATCTCCAATTCGCACTCCAAAATCGAATCTTCCTGACTACTCTCATCAATCATTTAGAAGTTTTGATTCAAGTGTGGTCTTTGTTGCCCGTGACTTCTTATATTGTGTTCAACGCCGGTTCCTAAAGCGAGTAATTGATTTAGACCCCGGCTAATGAAGCACATGAGGAATTGAAGGAAAACCGGGGCGCACTCTTCCAGTCTTTTATATAACGGACATTGCGAAGGAGTTGTGTTGTGTTGGAAGAAGACCCCATGTGAGCCAAAACATTGTGCAACCAAATGATTTAATCATCAGCACCATGCTCACTCTCGACTCCCCCAAACTCCCCTCATGGTGATGACGGTGATGAAGACTCCAAATTTTAAGACCATCTGGATAAACAACATTCCATTCGGAGTTTTGACGCAACTTGAATTTCTTCATCCTTTTATTGGAAATTTGCAATTCATGGAACAGTTGGGATGTTCCACTTTCTTTCAATCTTCGTTTGGGCATCTGACAAAATGTCCTCGCCCCGAGTGTCCAGAGAAAATTCTCTCTCTCTCTCTCCCCATTTGATTAATTGACTTGAGATATATATATAACAAAAAACATAAAATGACGTGGCGGGCCGGATGTGGTCCCGGGGGCATTGAGTTTGACACCTGTGACTTGCAGATTCTTTGATGGTTTCCCTCTTTTGAAACCACATTTTTGTTTCCAAGTAGTCTGGTCTTTCAAGGTAATGCATGTCTTGCATCACCGTGCAAGTATTATGTGCATTTCTATTGCTCAGAGCGGCGGAGGCTTGGCCATAAAGTTTTTACAAGTTACACACACACCCACACAGACACACACACACACTGTTCCACTTAATCATCTCGTTGTCATCTCAGCCACGCAGCCAGGACATGCTGTAATTTCTCCCACTGCAGTGACTCTGGAAGGCCCACAGTCATCTTTTTCTGTTTGTTTTTGCTCCATCTCTTGCTCCTTAATTCATCCGGTTTTCCATTTTGGGTGGGCGTCATTCCGCTCGGTTTGTCGGTGAGTTGTCACCCTCTCACAAAGGTATGCGGTATTTGCGGCACCTTAAGTGGACGTGTGTGACAGAGGCCGCCTACACACTTTTTCAGTCCAGGCCAAACGCTGGCCGTAAGGAATGTTTTGGCCCCTCAAAGTCTGTCGCCTTCGCCTGTGGTGCTTTTTTTTTTAATCACTCCATGGATCCCTATGTTACAGTAAAAGAAGCATTCAACTTATTACTGCTTTTTGGTTTGCATGTCCGGCGGTCCAGTTGTTAACAGGAAGCTTGAAAGACAAACACAGCTCATTTTCCCCTCGCAAGTTTTTCCCCTTGGAGTCCACTGCGCTTTCATGGACTCCTGGAAGGATTCATCTGGCATCTTCTCCGCCATCTTGATGCGGCGCACATCTCTGATGACCTCCTTGAGCTCGGGGAAAGAGGGGGACAAAAATGGTGGCTAGGAAGCTTGCTCCAGCGTGTTCATCTTGGCCAGGAAGTGTCAGATGCTCAGGGCATTGTGAGCAGGCGTGTTGTGGTGAGGCAACCTCGCGTTTTGATGCCACAACTTCCGAAGCGAAACATCGCAGGATCTCTTTTTAGATCCTTTTAAAAATCTTTATGCCAGTTGACTGTAGCCTTGGCAGAGATTTGGAGCTCCTTACCTCCACAGCGACACAGTTGTAATGTCCTTATCAGTTTTCTTTATTGTGATGCTTTCCCCCTTCGAGTCAAGTTGATCATACTTGAACAGAAACTATGTCGTAAGAAACAGCCCCCCCCCCCCAACACACACACATAACGCCCCAATTTTGGACCCTTTTGTTACTTTAACAGTCAAGAATTGCATTGAAGTCCCATGTGTGCCATTTCTTACATTCTAATTATGAAAGACAATATATCCCTCTGTCCTTCCATTATAAACATGGTGGGGGGAGAGGGAAAAAAAAAAAGGAACTTGCCTGGAATTTTGATTATGCACACGCATGACTGCCTCCTTTTGTCTCCAGTAGCCTTGAGGTGAAATTACAGCCTGGTCGACGAGTTCATTTTGTGTGTGTTTATAAAAACCGCTATCGCTTCTGCCACTCAAGTTTGCCCTCAGGAACATTGTTGTTACCCCCCCCCCCCCAAAAAAAGGGAATTCGTTGAGGTTACCAATGTAATGTGATTCTTTTTCTGTTGCTTTCTAGAGCTGTTAGGCTCGTCGCTCAAAGAATGTGCGTGTGTTGTCGAGGGGGTGCGTCCTAACGTCCTTTGAGAACATTTGCGACAACAGCTGCGCATGTTTTGGCCAAACTGCTGCTCAAAGTTACTCCTCCTGCCAGTGACTTTCCATCAAATGTTCGGATTTTCATTTGACTTTACTTTCATTTTATGTTTTTTATTTTGCTCTCCGATTTGTATGATTCAAGATAGCTGTCACTTTATCAAAAAGCTTGGTGTCGGGATTCATTCTCACGGTCCGATGCGTGCTAGTTGCTCAGGTCGGAAATGAAAACTAAGCGAGGATAATCCAGGAAATGAACAGCTACGGGGACAGACGTAGAAACTGCAAAGTCGCGTGATATTACACTAAACAGCTCGTCGAATTGTCCAGCGGTGGAAGCCCAGCAGAACGTTTGAGATGATACATTCAAACTCCCAAAGTATCGTGAACAAGTGCAAAGACCAACGTTACAGAGTTCACGCATACCAAAGATGCCGACCAAGCTCTCCCCGCATGGTTGGATTTCCTCGCATTCCTGTCCACTTCCACATGTGCTTAAACGTCTGTTTTCTCATTTTCAGAAGCTCTCCAGAGACCAGACTTTGAGGGTCAAGGTCTGACCGAAGCGGCCCGTTGGAACTCGAAAGAGAACCTGTTGGCCGGACCTAGCGAAAATGACCCCAACCTGTTTGTGGCGCTGTACGACTTTGTGGCCAGTGGCGACAACACACTCAGCATTACTAAAGGTAAGGGCACAAATCAACATTTTTGCACTTTTTAACCATTTGAATTCTAACGAGCGATCGGCATGATCAATATGAACAAAGTCGGTGATAAATTACAAATGATTTAGTCAAGGAAGGGATTGAAATAGGACGCAGCAAGCAATTTTGAAATTACGTCTAAATATGGTTATGTGATGTTGTAAAACACAATACGTGCGTGCCGTCTGCGTATGCTTGGCAGCAAGCTGGATTCATACAATCAAGATATATCGCCTAGCCTTATTTTAACGTAAGCGAAAGACAGCGGATTTACTGAGTAACGCTCTACAGATGGCCTCAAATCATATGCGCAATCTGCTTATGCGCTTCCTCTCCCGTTCTCCTTCTGTTTTGTGTCTTGCACTCCCACTCTCACTTCCTCACTCGGGTTCCTCTTTTGCCGGAACACCAGGCCGTAAAAAAAAAAAAACCAAAAAAAAAAACAATATGGATCGGTCAGACAAAACAGAGGAAGGAAGAAGAGAACATCTGCACTTGTGTGCGGCAAGACAATGCCTTGAATGTAATGTTTGTTTGTTTGGGGTTTTTTTTTCCAATGAATGTTCCATGCTAAAGGTTAGTCAAATAGTCAAGTAGTTTTTTTTGTTTTTTTTGTCCAATATCACGGCAGCGTAAACACAAAAACAACAGAGTCGTATATCATCAGCTCAGAAATTCAATTGGACTGTAAAACACAGTCTCTTGGTAATAAATGTTGTTTATCCAACAGAATTGGTCAGATTTGGAAAAAAAACAAAAAAAATCACCTTGGCTGACAATAAAAGGTTTTGAATGGTCCTCTAATTTTGCTTGCAGGCGAGAAGCTACGCGTGCTGGGCTACAACCACAACGGCGAGTGGTGCGAAGCGCAGACCAAGAATGGCCAAGGCTGGGTGCCGTCCAACTACATCACCCCCGTCAACAGCTTGGAGAAGCACAGCTGGTACCACGGGCCCGTGTCGCGCAACGCCGCCGAGTACCTGCTCAGCTCGGGAATCAACGGCAGCTTCCTGGTGCGCGAGAGTGAAAGCAGTCCTGGCCAGAGGTCCATTTCCCTGCGCTACGAGGGGAGGGTTTACCACTACAGGATCAATACGGCATCCGATGGCAAGGTGACGCCACGCTTTTACACGTTACACTTTAGGTGCCAAAGTGCAGGCCCCGGGGGGGGGGGGGCAAATCTGGCCCGCCGCATCATTTTAGGTGGCCCGTGAAAGAAAATCAAGCATGTCAACTTTCATGACGCCTGCTAAAGTCTGAACCAAAATTTCAAATTGCCAAATGTAATCCATGATGACGATGTTTGAACGAGCCACGATTCTTGATTTCTGATTTTGTGTCTTGCTCAACATGAAGCTGATATTGGTGCAAGGAGCCGTTAGTCTGTTGCCGTCCAATAACTGAAGATTAGACTGCCTGTCATTGTATGCCACTGGCATCGACAGAAAAAAAAAAATTAATTATACCACAACAATAATAATGAGAGATGCTATGAACATTTCAACATGATTGAGTTATTTCAAGAATCACCCCACACTTTTTTTTTTTAAGTCGCTGATTCGTGATGGGCCCAAAAAGTACTAAAGATAAAAAGCTTCGCCTATCGCGACCCATTAAAAAAAAAAAAAAAAAAAAGCACTTGTGTGCCACCGCTGCCAGCCATGCAGCTAGCCAACCTCGAGGAGCACCGAGCAATGACAAGAATGCATCTTAAGCACCAGTGTGCTGCACGTAATGACCAGCAAGTCAGTGACGCCCATGCATAGCACACACAGACGCGGCCAAGTCTGCGCACACACGGGCACGGTTGCTTTTCCGCAGCTCGTAATGTGTTCTGTGCTTCCCACCGAGAGCTCCAGCTCAAGAGCTCCCTCGGGTTGCCGCTCTGTTTCGCGGTCACTCTCCGCGTTATTACTGCGGCCTCAATATCTGCTCACGTCGCTTTTGTGGCTAACTGCTGGTTTTGAAGGTCCTTTTCACAACACTGGAGGTGGCTCTTTTTTTGTTTTGTTTTCCGAGCCTGTTCACAAGTGAAGAAATGCAACAGGCAGATTCGGGAGTTCTTAATTGTTGTCGTCTTCCTCCCGCCAGCTGTACGTGTCGTCGGAGAGCCGCTTCAACACGCTGGCCGAGCTGGTGCACCACCACAGCACGGTGGCCGACGGCCTCATCACCACGCTGCACTACCCGGCGCCCAAGCGCAACAAGCCCACCATCTACGGCGTGTCCCCCAACTATGACAAGTGGGAGATGGAGCGCACCGACATCACCATGAAGCACAAGCTGGGCGGGGGCCAGTACGGCGAGGTTTACGAGGGCGTGTGGAAGAAGTACAACCTCACCGTGGCCGTAAAGACGCTCAAGGTGCCATTCCGGTCACATTGCGTTAAATTTCATGACTCAGTACTTGACTAGTGTTTTCATTCAATACTTACTGTTACCCAAGTAATTATTTGGAGGATAACTTTTGCTTGAGTCATATTGTTCTAAAGTACCGATCCGCTTCAGTCCAAAAGTTGGCTCCTCAGACTAGCTCGACCCAAGTAATGACTTGATTAAGTTAGCTGAAGTTTACCGGGGCCTCAACTTGACATGCGGGATTATTATTTTTATTTTTATTTTTTCCCCACAGCAACTTGTGACTCGCTTGAAACTTTCAGGTTAATAATTGATTTACACATGATGTATGTGGCAGAAGAGTTCTCAGCTGTTGTCGGTGTTTTTTTTTTGTTTTGTTTTTTTAAAGATGCTCCCACCAAGTGGTTGTAGGTTGTAACTACAGCCAGCCTTGTTTTGCTCTTTTCAGGAGGACACGATGGAAGTGGAGGAGTTCCTCAAGGAGGCCGCTGTTATGAAAGAGATCAAACATCCCAACCTGGTGCAACTCTTGGGTAAGGCAGCTTGAATTTGAACGAAAGACACCGTACCGACGTGCAGAAATTGAAACCTGAATTCGGCGACGATCTCACTCAACTTGAGGTTAACGGCGATACAAATTTGGATCAGGAATAAGAGTGGGATCGCCGATTATTGGTCAATGGTTTCATCCCTACAAATCACATGTGAAATTCGCTGACTGAGCATTTTTCTTGTGTGTCCACACCAGGCGTGTGCACACGGGAGCCTCCGTTCTACATCATCACAGAGTTCATGACCCACGGCAACCTGCTGGACTACCTGCGGGAGTGCAACCGAGAGGAGGTCAACGCCGTGGTGCTGCTCTACATGGCCACACAGATCTCCTCCGCCATGGAATATCTGGAGAAAAAGAACTTTATTCACAGGTGGGCTCTCTTGCTTTTAAGCTCATACGGAAGTAATGAGACCAACGACTTACCAAGAACGGTTTGGGCGCGGCCCCTAATGCTTGGGTAGGATTGGTGTGGAAAAATGTGAGACGGCAAACACTTCTATGATGAATTAGACGGGAAATTCCACTGACCACTGACCTCGCAAATTGTGCTTGAATGGGCAAAAATATCCTGCAGACACACTCCAAAATTTTGCTGATCGTCGTCCCAGAAGTGTGAACAGCTCGTGAATTGTTCAAAAAAAAAAAAAAAAATGAGAGAGAGGGTGCATGAAAATTCTTCTCTAGTTTGTGCCAATATTTCGTCCATATGGTTAATTTGGTCAGACAGAGTAAGTGTACATGCAATACATAAAACAACTCACATGTGCAGAACGATGCGGCATAGTTCATTACTAAAATGACTGATTTCCTAAATTGCAGGACTCTGGCTCACTTAAGGAAGCTAGCTTAATGCTAACACACAGTGTAAAACACCATGCGCAGGATAATGAAACTAGCATCAGTGTTGCGGTATTAAACAATGGATATTTTGAACACAGTGCGGCAACACATGTAAACAGACAATAGAACAATACTCACTGGCATATATTTAACATCTGCAAAAAAAAAGACTAATATTTCTGCAGCTTAAGTCAATAATTTCTAGAATGACCCCCCCCCCATGAAAATAAACACGTTTTTGTTCACATCCAAATAAAATCCACATACCCCCGGCCAACTGTCGATTACTCACCCCCTGCGCGCTCTCCTGCAGGGACCTCGCCGCCCGCAACTGCCTGGTGGGCGAGAACCACCTTGTAAAGGTGGCAGACTTCGGCCTGAGCCGGCTGATGACGGGCGACACGTACACGGCGCACGCGGGGGCCAAGTTCCCCATCAAGTGGACGGCCCCGGAGAGTCTGGCCTACAACAAGTTCTCCATCAAGTCCGACGTGTGGGGTACGTGTCACCCTGCCGGGATTAATAATAGCGGCGGAAGGGAATTTAAAAAAAAAAAAATATTCTTCTGACAACTTTTTCCTTGTGCTCCCATTGGTGGCCTTTTGTTTTTTTTTTTTGCTTTGTTTTCCTTTCACATTTGCAAAGCTATGGGAAAACTTTGTTTTGTTAGCGTCAAGGTTGAGCCAACGCTAGTCTGCTCGGGTTAAAATATAGCAACTCCTTTGACTAAATATATTGTGTGCTTTATTATGATCATCTGTCTGTATTCAAACTGGACTCGTGTGCCGCACCCGCAGCATTCGGCGTCCTGCTGTGGGAGATCGCCACCTACGGGATGTCCCCTTACCCTGGCATCGACTTGTCCCAAGTGTACGAGCTGCTCGAAAAGGACTACCGCATGGACCGACCCGAGGGATGCCCCGAGAAAGTCTACGAACTCATGAGGGCCTGTGAGTAGATCGAGTAGTGCGACGGTTAGCATACCACTGCGCTGTTTTCCATTATCACGAGTGTTATCAACTCCCCATTAGGTTGGAGGTGGAATCCTTTGGAACGTCCGTCTTTTGCCGAGACCCACCAAGCCTTCGAGACCATGTTCCAGGAATCCAGCATCTCTGACGGTGAGTCTGGAACTTGTCGGGTTCCTTCTCCTGTTACACGCTCGCTTGACTCAATGTATATTGTTAGAGGTGGAAAAGGAGTTGGGCAAGAAAGGGAAGAAGGTGACGTTGGGCTCCATTCAGCAGGCTCCAGAACTTCCCACCAAGACCAGAACGCTGCGCAAAAATAAGGACAGCCGGGATGGAGACAGTCCAGGTAAGAAGTGGTTCCTCGAAACCACGGGATGGTTTTGGCGCTGAGGCCTTCTTCGGTTTTCGTCCGAGGATGGCGGTTAGCACAGGTGGTGGTTGCTTTGGGTTTCAAATCTCGGCTCCAACCGTCCTGTGGAGATTTTTTTTTTTTTTTTGTGTTCCAAAAATGATGTGAGCGATTTTGGAAAAATAACACCGGTCAACTATCAATTTTAATCAGCGATGGCTTCGTATCTCCCCAAACGTATTTTTGAAAAATGTGTTTACTTTTTTTCCTAGCATCTCAGACTTGTGATAAGTGATATCTCAAAAATGAAGCTTTTTATTTATTTATTTTTTTCTCCAAAAATATGCAGCTGGCTGATGTTGCAGCGTACTGATCTTGTTCCCTCCTCAGATCCGGTGGACCCTGACGTTACACTGCCCTCACCGATGCTCCCAAGGAAAGAGCGCCCCCTGCTGGACGGCAATCTGAACGAGGACGACCGGCTGCTGCCCAAGGACAAGGACAAAACACGCGGTGGCTTTCTGAGCCTGATCAAGAAGAAGAAGAAAAACGCCCCGGCACCTCCCAAGCGCAGCTCCTCCTTCCGGGAGATGGACATCCACCCCGATCGGCGGGGCGGCTGTCCGGACCCTCGGGACGGGGACTGCTTCAACAACGGTGGACCTTTGTCCATCGGCGACGCCACGCATGTGCTGGAATCCTCAAAGTCTCTGGCGACGAACAATAACGGCACGAACGGAGCTCCCACCTATCCGGGACCATTGTTCCCCCGGAAGAAGGGCGCCCCTGCCGTGCCCGGACCCGCCGGCAAGGCAGCAGTCACCCCTCCCGGCGAAGACGAGGTCATGACGAACTCAAAGCGCTTCTTTTGGTCCTCCAGCCTACCCGTCGGCTCAGACGGCACCCAGTGGAGGTCCGTCACCTTGCCGAGGGACTTGGGCCAGAGACACTTTGACTCGGGAACCTTCGGGGGCAAACCGGCGCTCCCCCGCAAGCGAACCAGCGAGCAGAAAGGGGATCCCGCCCCTCGAATGGGCACGCTGACTCCGCCTCCGCGTCTGCCCAAGAAGGCGGAAGAGTTGCCAGATGACGCGCCGAGAGACACTGAGCTGAGTCCCGGATCCAGTCCCCAGGCTTTAACCCCCAAGGTAGTCAAGAGGCCCGGGCTCCCGGAGAACTCCAAGACCAGCGCCCTACACGCCGAGCTGCTAAAGCCCAGTGTCTTCCCGGCATTGGGCGCCGCCGGAGATGAATGCCGGGCCCGGCGCAACAAGCACACCAATGACACCCGAGAGAAGGGCAAGTTCCAGAAGCCCAAACCGGCTCCTCCGCCGCCGCCCGCCAACGCCAAAGCGGCCAAAACCACCCGCAGTCAAGATCTCCCGTCCCCTTTGTCAGAAATCAAAGCTAAGGGCCTCCCGTCCGCCTCGGAGCCCCAACACGGAACCACTCCCGGCGAGGGAGCCAAGAAGCTGCCCCCGAGTTGCAACTCCAAACCTCAACCGCTCAAGACCTCCGCCTCGGCGAGCGGCTCCCTGGGGGGTGAGCCGGCCGCCTTCATCCCCTTGGTCAATCCCCGCCGCTCCCTGCGCAAGACGGCCCCGCGCCAGGCCTCGGAGCGCACGCCCAACTCGGCCGTGACCCGCGAGATGGTCCTGGAGGGCGCCGAGCAGCTGCGCGCAGCCATCGGCCGCAACTCCGAGCAGACGGGCAGCCACGGCGCCGTCCTGGAGGCCGGCAAGAACCTGTCTAAGTACTGCGTCAGCTACGTGGACTCCATTCAGCAGATGCGCAATAAGTTTGCCTTCCGCGAGGCCATCAACAAGCTGGAGAGCAGTCTGCGCGAGCTGCAGATCTGCCCCGCCGCCTCCGGGGGCGTCAACGCGCAGCAGGACTTCACCAAGCTGCTGTCTTCCGTCAAGGAGATCAGCGACATCGTTCAGAGGTAGCGGAACACGGACAAAATTGCTACCAACTGAAATCTGCCCACTCGCCCGAGAGCTGGCGCCGGTACTCCGGATACCACCTGTGGTCTTTGCGGATGCAAGCAAAGGAATTGGGACGATTTTGGAGTTTGAGCCGATGTTGAGCAACTGTGAACAAGTCGTCGTCATCATTCTTGAAATCTCTCCTCCCTTAAATACAGAAAAAGTGCCCGTTTTCAAAATAGGTTGCCTTCGACTGAGTGCATTGCACCCGGAATCCATTTGTGCCAGTCAATCCCTGATGAAAGGGTTTCCCCAACTGAGGGGCGGCACCCAAACGTGCCACAGGCTTTTTGGTTCATGTGTTCTTTATCGCAGTGTTTTCGCTTACCATTATTTTGCCGAGGCACATATTTTACAAACAAAAAAAAAAAGTCACCACCAAACAAAAATGCCACCGAAAGTATAGTACTTGGAGGGTGCAAAATGTTGGTATGCAGTTGGAAGCGTTTGCCATTTTATTTGTTTGCCTTCTTTATTTGTTTATTTGATGCATCTTTTCTGATGTGCATAGTGTGAGAGTGAGTGTGTAAATGTGAGAAGTTTGTTTGTGAGCGATTGTGTAAGAGGTTTGTGTGTGTGCGCGAGAATGAGGATGTATTATAAAGTATCTGTCATTGAGTGTGTAAGAAAAGGGTCGATGTTAACGCGAACATTTATGTATTTGTTTGTGTGAGTGTGTCACAAAAAGGCTTCCAACTGTATATGTACTTTTGCTCCCTCCGTATCCGGAATTCTGTCCTAATTTCGTTAGCAATGAAGTGAAATTTGGGCACAGTGGTTGGTAATCACTGGTTTGAGGCGGACGTCGGCGTTACGGCGTGACGTCATGTAATTTAGCGAAATTCGGGTCGCATGGCGGAACGCGGCAGTGGTGGTGGGGAGTGTCTTCAAAACGTTTGTCAAACCCTGACTCATGTGACAACAATTCAAAGTATTCTCTTCAGTGCCGTGCGAACGCCTTTTTCTTTGTGGCTCATCTTATGCCGCCAAGATGACGACAGCCAAGTAAGTCGAGTGTAACTGTTGATACGTTGTGCCTTCAAGACTTTGATGTTAAATGGCCATACAACAAAAAAAATAAGGAAAGGAAAAGTCAAGCCCTGGTCTAGTGTTGGACTCTTTGAACGGAACTGGACAGTTTATTAAAAGCCATCAGTAGCAGCTTCAATACATTACAGACTCGAAAGTGCGGTGCGTGTGCGAGTGTGTGTGCGCGTACGCGGCATGTGCGGAAGGGCAAATGGTTTTAAGTGTTTTCAGTATGTGTGTACGTGTTTTTATAATTGTGTGTGTGTGAATTTGTGAAACGTGAGCAGTGGACCTTCCTGGATTTTGGTGCCGCGGTACAGTTCCGTGTTCTTTGCTCCGTCGTACGTACCACTACCCCTTTGGGTCTAAGTCTCGTCACCAACTTGTAAATATGTTTTCTTACGCCTTTTTTTTTTTTTTTAGCCTCACGGTGCAATTTTGTTTGCAATAAAATGACAAACGCTGAAAAATGAAACGTGTTGCTCAAAACACTTAAGACCTGAACAGCCCTTTGTGTGTGTGTGTTTAGTACTTGTGTCAGCGTCATTGTGCGTTGCACTAAAAAGACTTTGTGATCTGGAGAAAACACGAGACGAGACATGGACAGGTTATGTATAATTTATTTTTTTTCTCTGTCTAGAAGTCTTTTCATTAAAATCAAAATGTCAACATTTTTTTAAATCATATACACGCAAAAATAACGCATTTCAATGTTAGATCGGTTCGTTTGAAAAAAAATGATACATATGTACGTTGTTTACTTTTTTTTTTTCCTTTAGTCGTGGGACAGACAAAAGCAGAAAGTGGTCACTCAGACAGCAAAGGGGAAATGAAGAGCATCCCCTTTTCTTAAAAAGAGTTAAGACAGCAATGCAGGACTCAAAAATAAATACAAGTTTTGCACATGATAAATCTGGCAAAGTTCAGTAGTGTGTGGATGGAAGTGTCGGGTTTAAGTGGATGAGTATGTGTCTCTCCTTTACATACATTTATTATTAATAGAAACTATGTTACAGAGTATCGCCCCCAACCTCCCCGGGCAATTGACTTACAGGCAGCCCACTACTAACACGTCAAACTGTACAATGTCCAGATGCCACCGAGCCAGGGCATAACCACACAGTTAAGCAACAGATTTATATACTGTACACAGCCGTCCGTTCAGGAGTCACTATAGCACACACACACAAAAAAAGGGGGGCTTTTTGCCTGTTTGGGGGAGGAGAGGCTGGGCATGCTGCTGCTTGGTGTATTATACAAGGAGGCCATTTTGAGGACCAGACAAGGCCATGCTGCTTTCGACACTCATACCAAAAAGAAAAAAAGCTAATTTTATAAGCCAAATTTGGGAAATGATTAAGACTATAAGGCAACAAACAAAATGGTGCTTGTGATATGACGATGCAACCATTTGACTATCGGGGTTTTAATTGAGCGACATTGATCTGCATGAATGGTGAACACATCTGCCTCATTGTTCTCGAGTTGGAATCTCTCTTGCGGCCTTCCTGTAAGGAGCTTGCATGGTCTCTCCGTGCTTATGTAGGCTTTCTGCAGGTTGTCCGGCTTCCTCCAAATACTTTTTAGCTTCGTTGAAGAGTCTAAATGTGAATGGTGGTTTATTATGTATGGTGTGATTGACCGGCGACCAGTCCAGGGTGTATGCCAGGATAGGCTCCAGCTCACCTGCGATCCTAATGAGGGCAAGTGTTATGTAGAAAATGGAAAAGCAGTTTTCCGTCCACGCTTCTTTGATGAGACGCCTTAAAATGGCGTTCGTGCCTTCGTTGTCCCGAGCCACCAAATCTCGCCGGGGTGAAGAGGGGCAATGAGCAGTAATTTAAGTTTAATTCATAGACAAGTCATTTGGAGCTAAAAAAAAAAGCAAATATTTAAAAAAGTGACAGTAATGCAATGAATAGGTAGTGGCGAGATTTAAAGGAAAAAAAAGGGTGGGGGGGGACAAAAAAATTGGCTGGGGGTCAGACAGGAGGAGCAAG